TCGGGGAGAAAGGGGCGTGGGGTGTGCGGGAAGAGACTGGACAAAAATCGTACACCTATGGATGAGGACAGTGGTGGGGTGGGTAAGGGCAGAGGGTGGGGTGGGAACCGGATGGAGGGGAGCTATGGGGAGAAAAAAGAGGCACAACTGTAATAATCTGAACAATAAAGATTTAATTTAAAAAAAAAAGAAGCCGTGGATCACATTGATGTTCTGCATAGAGGAGCCCTGGCGTTGACGCTGATTATAGAGCCGGCAAAGTACTAGGCATGGAGAGGGCGCCTGATACACAGGAACCTAGAGCGTAAGCTCCCCGAGGCAAGCCATTTGGGGGATTTTGTTCACTGCTGAGGTTTTAGCACTGAAAACAGTGCCTGGTGCAGAGTGGGCATCCGATGATAAATTCTGACTAAGTGAATGGATTTCGTATTTCTGGCATAGTTGTCAGCTCTGGAGGCAGACATGGGTGAGTTTGACTCTCAGCTCTGCCATTCATTAGCTATGACCACAGGCAAGCCATCTAGCCAGTTCATATTTTGGCACAATATTCTAGTCTGTGTATAGGGGTTAATGTTAATTCCTCAGTAACTGCCCCTTTGTCTGTCTTCCAGGCACACAAACAAACCTTCTGTCCCAGGCTTATTCATCTGTCCTCTGCCCTATTTAAAACAGGCCAAAAGCCAGGACATAACGCTACAACAACAAACTCACCTGTGCTATCTGGAGTTCAGGCAAGACATGCAAACATATGCCAAGATTAATGTGTTATCTCTATCAGAGGGCTTTGCACTGCAGCAGGTGTGTTCTTGAAGTGTGGTAATTGAACCCATGCGTAATTGCCTAGTGGTGGAATTACAGCCAAACTAGAGGACATTCATTCCAAGAAGGATTCTCAGGGAAAGGAAGGTCACGATCAATGAGTGATATCTGTATAGGGATGGAAGGGACTGTGGCAACTTGAATGCCATTCTGGACTAAATCACCCCATATTTTATAATTGGGGAGACTGCAGTCCTGGAAGGAAAGTGACTTGCTTAAAATTAAATAACTAATAGTTATCAGGAGAAGCATTCGATCCCTAGTGGGTTTGATTCAGAGACCAGTGCTCTTGCCCTAATCTAACCCACAGGTTCAAGACAGACGTCTCCAAAAGAAAAGGAAAGGGAAACAGAGCCAACATTTATGGAGCAAGTACCCTGGGCTAGACACTCAGGGAAACTCTTTGTAAACATTTTCTTTTCTCCTCATTATCGCCCTATGAAGTGAGCAACCTTGCCCTCCAATTTCACAGACGAGGACAGAGTCTCAGGGCCATGATGTAACTTACCTCATATCCCAGAGCTGGAGAGAAGCCTGACCTCTACCCCACGCCCACCAATGATTTGAACCTACACTCTAGGGTTAGATAGTCGTCCACCCCACAGATTCAAGAGTTAAGCATCTCTGCTGTCCCACCTGCAGAACTAGCTGTGAAGCTTTGGGCAGGAGACTTAGCCTCGCTGGGCCTTTGATTTTTCACCCCTAAGTAAAAACAATCATACATTCCGAAAAAATGTTGTGGGGATTAAATAAGCTCAAGCATGTAAAAATGATGACTACAGAGCCTGGCCCACAGTAAGTGCTGATTCGAGTTAGTTACAGACACACCAATCCCGCACACCCAGTCTCCCTCCTGCCCCCTGAGAAGGCAGAGGGGCTGGGATGGCCTCGCAGAGCTTTGGGGGTGGGGGTGGGGGTCACAGCCAGCCCTGGCCTCCCAGCGCCTTCTGTCTTTGTGCCGTGTTTGGCACCTGGCCCAGGACTGAGGAGTCCCCATTCGTCTCCTGTCAACTCAGCAGAACAAACTGTTTCAAGGGAAGGTGGTTCCCCTTGAGAAAATGTTCCCGTACACCCTGGAGCTCTTGCCCTGCACGTTGCAGCCATCTGCCCGACAGGGCCTGGGCCCCACCCAGCACAACCAGCACCCTGCTGAGTCACCGAAGGTAGTATGTGGTCTGAACAGCTGGTGCTTTACAGCACAGCGCCCTTTGCCCGGGTGATGGCTTTTAACCAACTTCATCTCTTGGTGCCTCGGTTTCACATTCCTTAATAGCACGGGCTGGTGATGTCTGGTCAGTATTTGAAGGGAGGTTGGGAGAGACCCCTGGAGACACTGCTGCCCTCCCTCACTTCCTACGCCTTCCTCAGTACTTGGCTCTCTGTGTGCCTCACCCCACCCCCCTCAGTCCTTAATAAGGTCCCTGCTGTAAGTCTAAGTGACAAGACCCGGCAACAGCAAGAGCACCCTTTCCTTGCTCGCTTCTTGCCACTGCGTCCTCTTCATTTTCCTCCTCTCATTCCTTCTCACTCTCTTTTGGCGGGTCCTTCCCCTGTGCCAGTCCTAAAATGCTGCAATTTCTTCAAGATTTAGATCCAACCTCCTTCCTCCTCACTCCACACACCCTCAAGTGCTCTGACCCCTGGCCTCAGGTACAATCCCCATGTTCTGGTCAAAGGCTCGGGCTCTGTCCTGGAACTGCCCCTGGCACACAGACCGCCTCTCCAGCTTCCCCGGGCTTCTCCTCCTGCTGGCTGCCAGCTCCAGCAGACTCACAGGCCCCGCACTGCACTTGCATGCTCCTCATCCTCACCCCACCCCGTGATCCGGTCTCAGAATCGCACCGCCATTCATTCAGTACATGTGCAGTGAGCACCTTCAGGCACCAGGTCCTGTTCTAGGTGTGAAGGGGACAGCAGGGAACAGAACCAAGTTCCTGCTGTCACGGCATTTACATCCCCTTTGCCAAGACGTCACACGACTTGGGAATCCTCACAGCTCTCTTCCTCGCCCTGCATGTGCAGTGGGACACCAAGTCCTGTCAGTTCTGCTTGGTGATATCACTTGATTTGGTCCCCCCATTCTGTTGCCATAGTTCAGGCAACTGCTTCTGACTTGGTCTGCCTGCCCCCGGTCTTGCCCCTCCGATCCTCTCCACGCTGTGGCCGGAGCCCTGTTTTAGAAGCACAATGCTGGTTCTGCTGCTCCTTTGCTCAACGCCTCCAGGCTCCCTTCTATGACCTCAAGGATGAGGTCCACTTGGCTGGTTAAATGTGAGTCAGTCCCCAGGGGTCACTGGAGAAAGAGAACCAACAGGAGACTAGGGATCATTCTGTCTGTCTGTCTCTCTATCATCTATCTGTCTATCGGGAGATTTATTTACAGGAATCGGCTCCTGTGATTGTGGGGTCTGGCTAAGCAAGTCCCCAAAGTGTAGGCAGCCCGGTGTGCCGGACGGTCTTAGGCAGGAGTGACACTGAGTCCCAGGCAGGATTCCTTCTTCCTTAGGGAAATCTCCACTTTGCTCTTAGGGCCTATCAAGGGCTTGGATGAGGCCCATGCAGATAACTGAAGATAATCCCTACTTAAAGTCAACTGATTGTGGACATTAACCACATCTGCAGAATACCTTCACAGCAACGCCGAGATTAGTGTCTGAATAGCTGGGAACTATGGTCTAGCCAAGTTGGCACATAAAACCACCCATCACAACGTGATACTTTTGGACCTGGTCCATGCTCATCTCCCTCACCTCTTTTCTTCCCTCTCTTCCCCCCTCGCAGTCTCGGCTCCGTCACCCCTCGCTCTGTGCCAGCTGGCCTCCTGCCACCTGTCCTCACATGAGCCTGGAATCTTCCCCACCCCTTTCCTAGAGAACTTCTGTTGTCTCTACAACCACTCAGGTGCTGCCTACTCAGGAAGCCTTCCCTGCCCCCACCCCTGCCCAAGCCCGGCCCTGGGCACTAGGATCACCGCCTCTGAGTCTCAAACCCCCACTGTTCCCATGAGATAGAAACTGCCTGGTGGCCGCATGGTCGGCCCCACTAGCATGGGAACAGGTTTTGGACAAGAACTGAGTAACTGTCATTTTCTATCAAATCACCCCCAGTCCCCACATGGCACAAATCCCAAACAGGGATTATTTATTTACTTGTGTATAAGCCCTCTCCCGCCTTAGAATATAAGCTCCATGGAAGTGGGAAATCATGCCTGTTCCCAGGACCTAACTGTGCCCGGCACATAGTAGATGTTCAATAAACATGCACTGAAGGAATGAATTCATATTTGTTTGAATGAGTTGAACAATAAATACTTCAGTGTTAGGCACTATTTTGGAGGCTGGAAATATAATTATCGATGAGAATGGAGCTTAACATTTTAAAGAGGGGAGACAAACAGCACTAAGTAAACATAAAGAATCAGGACAGAGAAAACAAAGATGTGATATGACCGAGTGAGTACATGAAGGGATGAGTAAATGAATGAATGGCTGGAATGTATGTAAATATATCTCGCACTTATTGAAGGGGAAGTACCACAGTGGGAGAGGGATGGGACGTGGTGGCTTTGGAGTAGGAATTAGAAAGGTCTGACTCTGTTCTTTGCTGGTGGTGTGTGTCTGGATAAATGATCTAGTGCCTTAGAACCTAGGGTCCCACATTTGTGATAATGGGGGTATAGCCACTGCTTTGTTTCTCTCACGGGCTATCATCTATGAGAAGTCAAACAGTAAAGAATTTAGTAACTGTGAAATTCACAAATCATAAGGGTCATTGTTGTTGATATTGCAGTTGTTGCAACCAGAGCACTTGAGTGCTGCAAGTTCATTGCATTGTTCAGTTGGAGAGAGGCAGAAAGGCATTTTGGCAGGAGACAGACCTGGGTATATTTCAGTTCTATTTCAGCCACTTAATGGTGAGCCATGTGACCTTGAATATGAATTATTTCACCTTTCTGGGCCTCAGTTTCCTGGTCTGTGAAAATGGGGAGAACATTTATACCATTTATAGACTGTTGCCAGGTTTAAACAAGACAGTCCATGCCAAGTGCCTGGCGCAGGGTTAAGCCCCTACGAAGGGCTCAGCTAATATTAGCTATTAACAGTCATTCTGTCAATCAGTGGTGGCTGCTCATAAATGGAGCCATTCATGGTGCAGTTTCTCAAGTCTCCCTTTTCTTCCAGGAAACTTCCCGCGTCTTTATGTACCAACACCTGTGATTATGCAAAGCTTCGTTTAAAACCACAGTCCGTGTTCACATCCAGAACATAAACAAACTGAGGACTTGCTGTTCCATGCCCTCCCTCCCAACTTTCCAAAAGAATATCTTCTCAACATAAAGAGAGATGCACTCTTCGTTTCTGTGGAAAACAAGTGCTCCTGGTTATATGATCACATACCCCTGAAACGGTTACGTTTCTTCATGTGCTGCATTTTAGAAGGCCCATAAAAGAGTTCTTGTCGAGAGAAAACACAGCTGGTGCCCAATTAGAGAGGTGATCAAGACTAATTGACCGCGAGAGCTCGTAATGAAGCCAGACCCCACGCTGCTGAGAGAGAGACTGCGGCTGGGGATGGAGGTGGCACCACTTGATCACGCAAAGGCCATGACTGAGAGGGGTGGATGGTTTATTCCGGGAGGCAGAGTTGGTCATGTGGTGACCCCTGAATTGAAGGTTTAAAGGCTGGCTCTGCAAGGCTGACACCTGGCTCTGGCTCACTCCCTTCCGTGGGGACCCTCAGCTCTCAATCCTCTATTCAGGCATCAGCTCCTATCTTGTCTGTCATCACTGGCCCTGGGAGATTTCCAGAGGGGAAGGTGACCTTCATCTTCAGGAAGACCTCCAGGATGTCTGTACTTCTGTCCTCACAACCCTCTTCAGACAGCGGATGTCTTCCTTACCCCTTCCCTCCCAAACATCACACTGTCACCCCTCCCGGCCCATGGCTGCTGCTTCTGTGTCTTCTTCCCACTCTGCCCTCTACAACCCCAAGACACTGTGTTGCACCCAAGACGCTCCGCTTAAAACCTGGCTGCTCTGTGTGCCTCTGTCTCAGACCATAAGTGGAACCTGTATTCCTCACTCTCTGTGGAGATGGGTTTTGCTTTTCCATAGCCCCCATGCCTCAGGGCCAAAAGGCAGGATCAAGTTTCTTCTTTTGCCTCCCAGTGCTACTGGAGCCATAATCCTCTGCTCTCTGTGAGACACACACACACACACACACACACACACACACACACACACACACGCCTGCTGTCAGGCATTTGGAAAGCAGTGGCTGTGTGTTTCACAAGAAAGTGTGGTCTTGGGACCCTCAGCCAGAGGATCACCTGGGAACTTGTTAGAAATGCAAATCGCAGCCCCCACCCCAGACTTCTAGGGGAGGAGCCAACACTGTGTTTTCACAAGCCCAGGGGACTCTGCTGCTCACCATGCGGGAACCACTGGTGCAGCATCTCGGAGTGTGGGCTCGAATACCAGCCCGCCTGAGTTCACTTCCCACTTTGACGCACACTCGTGTGCTACCCCGGCTGAGTGACGTAACTCCTGCTGTGCTAGATGCTCTTCTTCCTCACCTGTAAATGGGAACTACAGTGATGCCTTTCTGTGGGGTATCATGAGAGAACTGACGTGTTTGTACATCTAACGTGCTTGGAACAGTGTCTAGAATATCATAAGCTCTCATGAACTGTGAACTGCTACTGTTATTATCATTGAAAAGCAATTTTAATAGCCCCCTGGCCATTGGATGTTTGCACCCTGATCCGCCTGGTTGTGGTCATCTGTGACTTTTAAGTGACTCTTCTACATCTGGTCTTTCTCCAGCTTCCTGTGGCGTAGAGGGCGGTGGGCTTCTACAGACACCTTTCTCTGAGGTCTTCCATTTTATATTTGCATGTTTGACTATTGAAAAAGCACACTTTATTTCCAAAGCTCATCTCCTGGCAAAACGTATAGCCCAGGAAGTTGCAAAATACTTAACTGGAGGCTGGTTATATCCTTCCATGAACCCCCATGTCCCAGAGGAATGAAAACATGGCTCCATCTGTCAGACCTTTGACCTCCCCAGTTCCAGGGACCTTCACCTTGACTGCATGCCAGCCACCCCACTCAGAGCCACACCTGGCTCTTATCTCGGCTGGCTACTGCTCCACCCATGAAATCTCAAACCACAGGGTCTCACTCTCCAGCCCTCCCTCTTATCTCTCCAGAGCTTTCACCAAGCTGGCCTTGGACATCCTAAGTTCCAGGCTCTGGACCCCTCCCTCCTTTCTTCCCAGCCTCTCAGACCTCCTTGGATTCTCACTCTTGCCCTGCCTCTTCTGCCACATGGATGGAGGGACAAATAGCAAGAGCAAGAAAGAAACATTTGTGTCTGTAAGCCACTTAGACATTTTAAAAAAAATTTCTGCAGCATGACCTGGCTCTTCCTACTGGGGTACCTGCCCCCTCGGTGGGCGAGAAGATGAAAGGTCATGTGAGTAGAGTGTCGGGCCCATAATAATCGCTCCAAAAATACTAGCTATTACTCTCACCACCAAATTCACAGGGCCCGTGGCACTGCCTTGTAATGTATGTAATGTATCTACACATCCCCAGTTGGATCACTCTCCTTCTGTACAATAGCGGTTCCAAACTTTATCCATCATCTTCCCACCAAACCCTCAGCCTTCGTAAAAAAGATAGAAGTGATCAGGTGGGAACTTTCTCAGTAAGTTTTCTCCAAACCTGCAAGTTTCAGTTTCCCTCCCGTCTTAGAGGAGGTTGGGTTCTATCACCTGACCACAAGTATTGGAGGGCAGAAGTATCAGTGACTTCTAAGACTGGGAAAAGCGGAGCATTCATTCATTCCTCCATCCATTCGTCCATTATAAATACCAAGTAGGAGGGTGTCTGGGGCTTGGAGAAATGCGATTTGAAGATGAGGAAAAATTGAGACCTAAAGGGATAGCCAGGCTAGACCTATTTTTTTGTTTCTCCCAGATTGGCACTCTCTGTGCTCTCTTGCCTACCTACCCAGGTACATCCGGTGGCCAAAGGGGGGAAGTGGGAGGACTGGCCTGGCACTCACAAACCAGGCCTATCTGCCCCTACCCTGGGCATATGGAGGAAGAAAAGAGGTCGGTGAGGCATCTGTAAGGAAAGCCTGAGGAAGGGACTGCCCTTGTCGAAGCTCCATCCATTCTCCCGGGCTACATGAGTGGCTGACACGCAAAGAAAGAACTGCACGCTTCTCCCACCTCCAGGCAGGATTCCCTGGGACCCCAGACAGACAGACAGGCAGGCAGGCAGACAGACAGACAGACGGTGCTGTTTCTCCTGATACAGCATCCTCGGCAGCTGAGGCTGACTCAGCCTCTGCACCCTCCCAGTGGGTGGGGTAGACAGTATGCCTAGTCCGCTGGGTGGACGTGGTAGGTGGCACCCGGAGTAAAGTCGCAGACATCTGCAGACACAGAGAACTTTGATTCTCCCGCAACTTAGGGACATTTGCAGCGCTCCCTCCTTTACCTGTCACTCAGCCACACCAGCTGGTTCCAAACTCAAAGTCCTTGGTGGCGCAGCATGTCGTGGCTGAAAGGGCCTTAGGAACTAGCTGTCACGTCGTGGCTGAAAGGGCCTTAGGGACTAGCTGTCACTCCCCTGGAGGATGACAGGACCGTCCACCCATTCCAGGAAGACCCAGGTCCTGGCGGCGGGGTCCAAAGAGCTGAAAGAGCTGGCAACTCAGATCCAGGGCAACTGCTTGTTAAGGACACAGGTCATGGCCGCCAGGCTTAGGTGAAAGAAGGTGTTTAGCGTGTAATATTAAAGTGTTTGCCTTTATACCTGTGCAGCGGTAAAGTACTGCAGCCCTCCCTGCCCACATCCCCTCTGGGTCTGTTTCCTCATCCTTACAGTGCAGGTCACAGTACCACCAGCCCCCTCCCCTCGGCTGGGCCTCCGTGCCCCCTGAGCTCTCTTGGGGATCCGACCACTTCCACATTTACCAAGCGGGGAGGCTCCTGTGTGCAACCCACGTGGCATCCGCATCTGCTGGTGTTGCATTGAGGCGTTTCGCTGTTCTCCACTGTGAGCTGCCACCAGGTTCCCCGTCCGTCTCCTGTCCACTGCTCTCCAGCTGGAAACACCTTGTCTGGTGCTGTTTCCAGAACAAGGTGAGCCCTGACTTCTAGCACATGGAGGGCTCTGTGCTTCAAAAGTACCCCCTTCTCTGCCTGATGGTCCCTGCTCACACACCCCTACATGCCCTTACCAGCTGGGCTGTACCAACACTTCTGACTTCCTGGCTTTTTAATCGTGCCCCTGCCCTCTAATCGCTGAAAACCCCAGGCCCTGGCCCTGCTCCCTCAGACCCTGGGCATCTATTCTCTCACCTCTGCCCCCCCAGACACCCCAAGAAGCCAATGCCCTCCTTCCTAGCCCAGAGAAGCTTCCGGTTTCCCAGGAGACATGCATTGAACGGAAACATCTTTTCCCTTGTGTCCCTATGAATTATTGGTCAGCCTTTCCACATTCCCCGTGACCCCACGTTCATTCTCCTTGGCCTCTGTAAGGTCTCATGAGCCCCATGCCTCACCTGCAGTGCCAGTGTTAGCTCAGGTCCTTTGCATCCTTTTCCAGACCTCAACATCTCCTCACCAGCCTGTCTCTCTCTCTCCAATCTACCTGACACCCTGCGACCATCTTGTCTTTTTAAAAATACAGACCTGATCCTGTCTTTGCTCTGTAAGATCTTCCTGTGTCTCCCCATTTCCCTCAGGCCCCTTAGCCTGGCACACAAGACCCTGCCTCCCCCTCGATTGGAACCCGCCCACACGATCATCACTAATTACTTATTTGAAATCCCCAGAGTGAGTCACGCTTTCTCATGCCCCCATGACTGTGCACATGATGCTCTCCAGCCCGGAATGCCCTTCCCAGATCTCTTAGAAAACACCTCCTGACAAGTTGAGGCTTGTGTAGCCTCACCTCCTCCAGGAAGCCTTCTGTGCTGGCCCTTCCAAAGGCTGAGTTAAGGGCTTCTCTTAAGCACCTCACCCCCATCTCCTAGAGCTCCTCTGCCCAGCACCTACTTGTGCCTACGCCACTGGGGCCACTGGGCTCAGATTCAGCCCCCTTTGAAACAGGGACCACATCTGACTCATCTCTGTCACCAGCCTCTGACATCGGACCTCTTTGGGATCCAGAAGGCACACAGTAGGTATTTTTAATAGAACCTGTAGACGAATGATGATTGGGCCAGGATGCACTGAACTGTTCGCTTGTCTGGCATCGGTGGCCTGATTGAAACAGGGCTGGGCACAGGTACATCCTGAAGCAGGCAGAGAGCAAGTGTCCGGGTTAGACTAGGATGCTGTCGCCTCCGGAAGCATGAAAGGTGGACTGATGGATTGATTACCTGTGAACTTGGAGCTTCTGAGAGGAGACTTACATTCCCACGAAGAGAAGGCAGACGAGTGTACTCAGAAACTGAATTAAACACCGAGATCTTCATTTCAGCAAAAGGAATAAGTTGTACAGGGGCAGACATTTAATCACAATGTGATACGGTTCAGCCGTGATCGACAGGGTCACAATACCATAAACACTAACTCTGACCCCAGCTTCTGTCGTAACTGGACTGGGAGGTGGGGACAAGGTGAAGCGACAAGGGAAGGGAGCTGGACCCTTCTCTTCGTCCCAGCAAGCCAACAGGG